TGAGCGGTATTGGTAAATCTGTTGACTTTTTGGGAGCCAAGGAAAACTTGAAATAGTTTGCCTTGTTTTTTAATTGATTATTGATGTTGCTTCCAAAGTCCTCAACTCTTAGAGCAAATATTCTTGCCTTAATAGCCTTAAACAAGTTTATTATCACTGGGTGCATTTCTTTGGCTGCTGTAATCAAACATGATTTAATTAACAAGGTTTTATTTTCTTGGCTAACAAATTAGCTACTTGGAAACTTACTTTGGTTATAGCTTCCTTTTTTTTAATTTTTATGAAGAAATTGTACTGTGAAGATATACTTCATTTAAACTGTTCTGATTTTTCTGTATCTTTCATGGAAGTTGGAAAGATTTTGATGACTGGTTAATCCAGTAATATTTAGCATAGTTATTTTATGCTAGCATAACTAGCATAACTATTTTGTTGTTGTTATGTGCCGTCAAGTCAGCCCTGACTCATAGCGACCCCTCCTTGGGTTTCCGAGGCAGTATCACTACAGAAGTAGGATTGCCCAACCTTCCTTCCGAGGAGTGGCTGGTGGGTTTGAACCGCCAGCCGTCTGGTTAGCAGGCAAGTGTCTTAGCCACTATGCTACCAACTATTTTAGCAGAGTTATAAAATTAGATAGCTCTGCTATCTAATTCAATAACAAAAACACCTTACTCTGTTCTACTTTAAAAGTGTAATATTCAGTGTCCACTTTTTTTTTCTTTCATATTTTGACATGATGATACAAAGGTAATTTAAAGAAAAGTCATATATGGTAACACAAGTGGCACTCAAAATACTGTCCAGTCATAACTGTGTCTTTGTGATTTGCAGTGTACTGAGCAGGGCAAAGCAATGAGAGCACCACATGTGACCTGTCTTAGAGCTATTCAACTCTGATTTTGTAGCATGAAAGCATGTACAGGTGCCATGAACAAGGAAAGTTATTTGTGCTAGAATAAAACTTTCTTTATGTTATAGTTATTATGTCTTTTTGGACCCTATGTACAACAAAATGAAACACTTGTCTGATCTTACACCATCCTTACAATCATTGGCATTCTGAGCCCATTGTCACAGATATTAGGAGCTCTGATGGCATAGCGCCTATGGCATTTAACTGCTGACCAGAAGGCTGGCAGTTCAACCCCACCAGCCACTCTTTGGAAGGAAGGTTGGGCAATCTACTTTCGTTAGAGATACTACCTCAGAAAACCAAGAGGGGTTACTATGAGTCACATCTGACTTGATGGCAGTGAGTTTGGTTTGGTTTGTTACAGACACTGTCAATCCATCTCATTAAGGGTCTTCCTCTTTTTTGTTGATCCTTGACTTTACCAAGCATGATGTCTTTCTCCAGGGACTAGTCCCTCCTGTTAAAATGTCCAAAGTACATGAGATGAAGTCTCGGGAGCCTTAGTTCCAAGGAGAATTCTGGTGGTTCTTCCTCCAAGACAGATTTGTTCATTCTTGTGGCAGTCTATCGTATATTACATATTCTTCACCAACACCATAATTCAAAGTCATCAGTTCTTCTTTGGTCTTCCTTAAAACCATCAGGCTGACTTTAGACTTCAAAGTGACTCATTTGCTTTTAAACACTTTAAAGAGGTCTTTTACAGCATATTTGCCCAATAAAATATGTTGTTTGATTTTGACTGCTACTTCCATGGATACTAATTGTAGATTCAAGTAAAATGAAGTCCTTGGCAACTTTAACTTTTTCTGTTTATCATGTTGTTGCTTTTTGGCCAAGTTGAGAGGATTTGGGTTTTCTTTATGGTGAGGTGTGATCCATATTAGAGGCTGTGGTCTTTCACCTTCATCAGGAAGTGCTTCAAGTCTCGTCACTTTCAAGTAAGCAAGGTTATGTGTATTACTTGCATATCGCAGATTGTTAGTCTTCCAGCAATCATGATATTGTGTTCTTGTTCATATAGTTCAGCTTCTTGGATTATTTGCTCATCATACAGATTAAATAAATACGGGGAAAGGATACAGCCTTGACACACATCTTCCCTGATTTTAAACCATTCAGTATCTCCTTATCCTGTTTGAATATGTTATAGAATATGTATGTTCTGCATGAGCACAATTAAATGTTATTCTTAATTTGTTATGATACTCAAAACAAAAAAATAAACCTACTACCATCAAGTTGATTACAGTTTTTAGCGACCCCCTTTGGGGTCGAGAGAAATAAACTCCATAAATATAAATAGGGTTCCTTTGGGGTTGGTGGGTTTGAACTGCCAGCCTTCTTTCTGGTTAGCAGTCAAATGTTTCACCCACTATGCCACCAGAGCTCCTTCATGACGCAAACCAACTGCCATGACCCAAAGGAACCCCTGTCTATATTTATGGAGTTTATTTCTGAAGCAGAAAATCTCTACAGAAGTAGATTGCCCCATCCTCCTTCCCCAGAGTGGCTGGTGGGTTTGAACCGCCAACCTTCTGGTTAGCAGTCAAATGCCTTAGGCACTGCACCACCAGAGCTCCTTAATTTGTTATGATGCACCCAGTCAAATGCCTTTACATAGTCAATAAAACACATGTAAACATCCTTCTGGTAGTATCTGCTTTCAGCCAACATCCATCTGACATCAGCAGTGACATACCTCTTTCCACATCCTTTACTGAGTATGACTTGAATTCTGACTGGAAGTTCCCTTCAATCTACTGCTGTAACTGTTTTTGAGTTATATTCAGCATAATTTTAATTACGTGTGATATTAGTGATATCTTTTAATAATTTCACATTCTGTTGGATTATCTTTCTTTGGGATGGGCACAAATATGGATCTGTTTCAGTTGGTGGCCAAGTATCTCTCTTCCAAATTTCTTGGCATAGATGAATGAGTGAATCTAGCATTGTATCCGTTTGTTGAAATATCTCAGTTGGTATTCCATCAATTTCTGGAGCCACCTTTTTTCCAGTGCTTTCAATGCAGCTTGGACCTCTTCCTTCAATACCACTGGTTCCTGATCATAGTCTGTCTCATGAAATGTTTGAACATCAACCATTTCTTTTTGCTAAGTGACTGTATTCCTTCCATCTTCTTTTGATGCTTCCTGTACCGTTCAATATTTTGCCCACAGATACCTTCAGTACTGCCACTTGAGGCTTGAATTTTTTCTTCAGTTCTTTTAGCTTGAGAAATGCTGAGTGAATTCTTTCCCCTTTGGTTTTCTAACTCCAAGTCTTAGCACATTTCATTATAATACTTTATATTGTCTTCTTGAACCATCTTTCTGTTTAGCTCTTGTACTTCATCATTTATTTTATTTGCTTTAGCTATTCTATACTCAAGAGGAAATTTCAGAGTCTCTTCTGATTTCCATTTTGGTCTTTTATTTCTTCCACGTCTTTTAAATGACGTTTTGCCATCTCCATGTGTGATGTCCTTGATGTCGTCCCACAGCTTGTCTGGTCTTCAGTCATTGGTGTGCAGTGCATTAAATCTATTCTTGAAATACTCTCTAAATTTAGGTGGGATATACTCAAGTTTGTACTTTGGCTCTCATGAACTTGTTTTAATTTTCTTCAGCTTCAACTTAAACTTTCTTATGAGTAATTGATGGTCTTTTCTACAATGGACCTGTGTTATAATATAACTTTTTATGGACACATAATTTAATGTTTAGACAATTTTCACATGTCAAGAAATGTTCTAAAGGTATTTTATTTAAAAATCCTTATCTGTTAATTCTATTATTTTGTCATTTTGGTTTTTTTTTTTTTTGCCCTTCTCCTGGTTAGGAGTTATATTTTTCTGCTTCTTGATAGTTCTCTTGATGTTGTGATTGTTATGATTTTAATTTTCTGTATTTTGTTGTCTTCCTTTAAAGTATGTTGGTCTTTGCAAGTAGTTAAGTTACTATTAGAGAAGTTGATCCTTTCCAGAAATCTTTTAAAACTGTGTTAGGGCAGGTCTCCCCCACCACTGCCATCTAGTCAGATCTGACTCATAACGACCCCTCCTTGGGTTTCCGAGGCAGTACACTACAGAAGTAGATTGCCCAACCTTCCTAGCTGGTGGGTTTGAACCACTAGCCTTCTGGTTAGCAGACAAATGCCTTAGATACTATGCTACCAGAGCTCTAGAGTAACCTTTACTTGAGAATCAGTCTAGTTCTACTGCTAAGGCATGACTCTGGTTGTCAGAAGTTGTAGTTACTATTTGCTTAGGCTTTAGGGTCACACTATGCATGTACAGCTTAGTATTTAACCAGTGACCCAAAAAACAAAACAAAACAAAAAAAACATTGCCATCAAGGCGATTCCGACTCACAGTGACCCCCATTGGATTTCTGAGGCTGTAAATCTTTATGGAAACAGATTGCCTCATCTTCCTTCCATGGAGCAGTTTGGGTTTGAACTTCCAGCCTTCTTTCTGGTTAGCAGCCAAACGTTTTGCCCACTATGCCACCAGAGCTCCTTCATGACCCAAACCAACTGCCATGACCCAAAGGAGCCCCTATTTATATTTATGGAGTTTATTTCTCTGTAGTGTTCCCTCCTTTCCAGTAACCTGCCCCACAGGTTCCAGCTGCCTCAGCCTTTCTGAACTCTGTCCTTTGAGTCCTCACCTCAGTGAGAGCCCTGTGCTTTTCTTGAGTTCCCTTTCTCTTGTCTGGAAAGTATGTCAAGCACAAAGCTAGAACAATCACAAGGCTCTCCTCATTTATTTTCTTCTCGGGGCACAATCCTGCATGGCTTGCATGTCTGAAAGAATGATTTCATATATTTTGTGCAGCTTTCTAGTTGTTTACAAGAGCAGGTCCCCTATCAGTAATTCTATCATGGGTGGAATAGAAGTCTTGAGACACAATTCTAAAAGGGATATTGCAAGGCAAGTTTTATGGCTGTTTTTACATTATTTTTAATCATTAAAGCTTTGTTAAATTTTAGCCAATTATACTTTTAAACATTTTCATCATGTATAAATAAACTCCTCCAAAAATTTACAAAGACTGATTTTTTTTTTTTTTCCTCTTTAAAGATTTTCTCTCGTGGAGAGGTTATCCCTGTGAAGATCCTTGGAATTTTGGCTCTTATTGATCAAGGTGAAACAGATTGGAAATTAATTGCTATCAATGTGAATGATACTGAAGCCTCAAAGATGCATGGTAAGGTTATACCTTTCCAGAAAAGAGAAGTATATCAATATGTCATTGGAATTCTTAGAATTTAAAAGGGCCTCATGTAAAACATTTGTGTATTTGGGAGTTCAATTTTATATTTTGTTCTGTATTCTTTTTCCAAGATATACATAGGACAATTAGCATGATTGTGTCTAAGTGGTGTCATACTGATAGGAGGGGTAAGAGAGAAAAAAAAAAGATTTAGACAGACAAATGACATTTCAAACTAGGAAAGTATACTCTAGATTTTCAAGAATTTATTGTTTTTAAAGAACTTTATTATTTGTTTTCTTTCTTCCCTTTCCTTTTCCTTCCTCTGTCCTTCCCTCTTCTTTCCTCTGTTTCCTGCCTGCCTGCTCCCCTTCCCTTCCTGCCTCTTTAATATTTACCCTCCGTCCTTCTTTCCCTCCCTCCTTTCCCTCCTTCCCTTCCTTCTTTCTTACCTCTGCCTTTCCTGGCATGAATTGTGATAACATAACTGCTATTAGAATTGTAAGTTTTGCAAGCATTCCTGGACTAGGAAACCATATCATATTGGCACTTGTACCCTGAAATCTACTTTGGTTCATTTGAGCAGTTGGGGTTGGGGGTACTAAGGAAAAACTTCATCAAGGACATAATGTGCTTCTACATCTAGTTTTTATTTTCTCTTATACTAATGAAGGTAAAGGTAACTGCTTTCTGACAAAATGTTGATATCACGGAAATTTAAGTTCTGGACATAGCATGGCATCGTAAAGAGTTTATTTTCTTTAGAGTCCGGCAGATTTCAGCTTGAGTTCTGGCTGTGCTACTTCCTAACTAACTGACTTCAAGTAGATTGTTCAAACTTTCTGAATGATCTATAAATGGAGATAATAATGCCTACTGGTAAGGTTGCTGACTATGTAAGAGATGATTTATTTAAAGCTTCTTATTTTCACATACCAAGTGTTGAGTATATGGCAACTATTATTATTCTTTGATCATGTTTTGCTCATTTTTTATAGCATTTTCCCTTTCAGTTTCACCCCAAATTATATAGGGCCCTGGGGCCTTCTAGACTTCACTTGTTATCTAAACTAGAAAATATATTGTTTCTGAGTTGATTGAGACTCATTGACACCTTATATATACTTCTTTTAATTTATATGCATGCAGTACCTTTTCTTATGCATGGAGCAGCAAAAAGGATTTTTTGCCAGTCTCTTTGCTTGTAACTTAGAAAGGGGATAGTCTAGTGAAGTGCACGAAACCTCAAGTTCAACATTACAGCATGACAATTACTATTATAAGACTTAAATCCATAAACCATATATTTTTCTCATCTATCTTATTTTACCCTGGGTTTGTTTATCTTCATAATTCTTATATATGCATACATAAAAATAAAACCAAAAACCAAACTCATTGCCATTGATTTGATTCTGACTCATAGTGACCCCCATTGGGTTTCTAAGGCTGTAATAACTCTTTATGGAAGCAGATTGCCTCATCTTTTTTCCAAAGATGGGCTGGTGGGTTTGAACCAATGATCTTTCAGTTAGCAGCCAAATGCCTTAACCACCACACCACCAGAGCTCATTAAGCATAAGAATAGCAAATAATATTACCAATTTAAACATTTTTTTAGTCCTTAACTCCTCCTCAAACGAAATTGGTAATTCAATGGTGTAATAACCGGCCAAAATGAACCATGTAGCTTATTCATTTGTAATGTGGTAAACCAAAGCCACAAAACACTACTAAAGGATGCTCCTTTAAACTGAAAGTAGGACATGCTGAGAGCTTGAATGAAACTAATCTTCAGGTTTACTGCTAGAACCTGATTGAACATTTTTAACTGTCTAGCATATGCCAACCATTGGGCCTGCTCTGGTAGGTATTGTTGTTGTTGTTGTTGTTATGTGCCGTCGAGTCAGCCACGACTCATAGCGACCCCTCCTTGGGTTTCCGAGGCAGTATCACTACGGAAGTAGGATTGCCCAACCTTCCTTCCCAGGAGTGGCCTGGTGGGTATTACTGACCCTAATTTAAAAGGTGCTCAGAGAATTTTAGTAACTTGCCCAAGTTTGCTTATCCAGTAAATAGTAGCAAAATAGTTTGAACCGATTTCTGTTTGATTCTAAAATCCATTGTTCACGTACAATACTATACTGAGGGGGGGTAAAAAAAAACAACAGTTGTTCATCTAGTTTATTCTGACCCATGGCAAGTCCATCCATGTAGAACTGTGCTCCATAGGGTTTTCAGTGGCCGTGATCATTTGGAAGCAGATCAGGCACAAGACCTTTCTTCTAAGGTACCTCTGAGTGGATTTGAACTGCCCACATTTCAGTTGTAGCCCAGCAGATTCATGTTTTACACAACCCAGGGACTGTCATACTGAGCACGTCAGACTTTATTCTAGTAGCTTACAGTATTTGTGACTAGAAGTATTGAGACTAGACCACATAAACTAAGTGCCTTACTCCTTCTTGAGTTTCCTACAGATTAGAATGAAAACTTTTAACTCGTTTCACTTTAATGCTATTGCATACCCAAAGCAGAGAGGGTATTGCACTTTGAGCATCTTTCTAAATTTCTTTTGTCTATGCTTATACAAAGACACATGCAGGAATACTGAAACCAATTGCTGATTCAAGTTGAAATAGATCATTGGGACTAGGTTTGTTTTCTTTAAAACTATAATGTTATTTATTTTATTGTTGTTGAGAAGAAATCGTACTATAAATTTTTTTTTTATATTATTACAAATCGAGGGATAATAATTAGCCCTATGGAGTAGCCTTTTTATTTTATTTTATTTTTTCCATTGGGCTGAGAGCCCGCCCCTGGGGGTGAATTTTATTCCAGGCACAGAATGTATTTCAGGGCCATAGTATTGAGAGTCTTACCAGACTTCATCTGACCAGTAATTCTGGTCATTTTTGAGTTTTTGGATTTTGTTCCATGTTTTCCCTCACACTCTATCCAGGATCTCCAGATTTGATCCTTTCCTGAGTGGTTGGCATTGGTAACTGGGCACCATCCGGTTCTTCTGTTCTCAAGGGCCATCATGTCCTAGGGTTAATTGCTTCTAAATGCCCTTGGGTTTTTTTTTGGGTTTTTTTTGTGCGTTCTTCACTTCCAATGCTGGCAGACCATTAGCTGCATCCTAGATGGCTGCTTGAAAGCTTTTAAGACGGAGTAGCCTCTTTAAAAAAAAAAATTGACTTGTATTTACCATATGGATGAGATGTCAGTCAATTTTCTCTTAACTATTTCAGTCAAATGATAAAATTTCTGTTGTCATGCTGCTGAAGCACTCTTAACGGACAGAAATTCCTGGACTACTTTTTTTTCCTTCAGTCCTTAGCTTAGTCTGTTTTCTCATTAGTAGCTGTGGGGGTGGTGGGTGGCAGTAAAGGAGTGGGAAAATAGATATGCTCAGTAATTGCAAAACTTGAAAGCTTTCTAAATTTGTGGAAGGTTTTAAAAAGTATATTCCAAAAAGAACAATTTATATGATGTGACTGTAATATTTAAAGGAGCTCTGGTAGCATAGTGCCTAAGGCACTTGACTGCTAACCAGAATGCTGGTGGTTCAAACCCACCAGCCACTCCTTGGAAGAAAGATGGTAGTGGTACTGCCTCAGAGACCCAAGGTGGGGTCACTATGAGTCAGGGCCTACTCGATAGCATGTAACAACAACAACAACATAATATTTAATGGATTTCTGTTTGTCATTGTAATTAATTTACATTCTAAAGGTACCTAATTTATAATAATTTTGTTTTTTATAATAAGGGGGGAAGAGTTTAATTGTTGTAAGCACATAGTTCTTTATTTTGTAATGATGTTATAGGTTAAAAGTACACCTTGACAGGAATGAGAACACCTCAGAAGTAAATAAGGAAACCAATGTCATGATTTTGAGATTAGGTGAAATGCCTTTTATCAAAATGTATGTTTTTTTATAGTAAGATCAAAATGCACATTTGGATTCATAGGACTAAATATTATGTAATAAATATTAAGTTTGTTGGCATTATCTACTGTACATCGTTGACAACTTTTCCTAAAATTAACTATATTTAATTTAAATCAAACAAAAATTTAAAATTTTATCCCATCTTTACCTTCTAAATTTATAGGATTTTAGATGACATTTTTTTAAAATTATAAAATTAATCTTATACTCAAAAAGAAAAACTCAAAAATATTAAAAATGTATATAAAATTAAAAGTAAACTTCTCCTTCCCACCTCACACCGAGTCTTACTTCTCATCTTTTTCCCCATATGTTCTTAGTTCTTTAACTAGATACTTTTTAAATCTAAATAGTATGCTTACACCTTTATTTCTTAATTTGTGTTTCTTCCTTGTTTACTCATTGTTGCTTTGAAAGATGAGGAATTTAACTTTTTATGTGATTTCTCAATTGTGTTACCATATTTCTTCTTCTGTTATCTTAGTAATTCTGTGTTATACTTTGACCTATATTTATTGTTTAACTTTGAAAAGTAGGTCTTGATTTCCCAGGAATTACAGCTAGGGAACTGAGATCTCTGCACTTCTCCCCTTCTCTGCCCTTTGTAGTGCAGCATCTCTCAGCTGTATTGTTAGTTTTGCAGCGTCAAAATTTATAATGTTTAAATTTATTCTTTATAGTTGTTTTTCATATAGTTATTTTGTCTCATGGTTGACTCTGAAAATATAAAATTAATAAATGGCATTTATATTGTTGTTATGTGCCATCGAGTCATCTCTGACTCATAGCGACCCCTCCTTGGGTTTCCAAGGCCAGGCAGTATCTCTACGGAAGTAGATTGCCCAATCTTCCTTCCAAGGAGTGGCTGGTGAGTTTGAACTTCTACCCTTCTGGTTAGCAGTCAGGTGCCTTAGGCACTATGTTAAGTATTATGTGAACAGTATTCACCTAGTTTATCTTACTGTTGATTGATCAATTTTGGGTAAGCTGTTCTCTGAGCCTGCCACACGGCCATCATTCTAGGCTTTCTTT